GAGTGCAGTGGGTTAAGTATCTTGACCTGGGCCATACAAGTACTAAGAAATAAGTTGTGCATTTTATAATTTATTTTTTGCTCTAATGAGGTACGTGTGCTCACTGGAGACAGAAGAGAGAGATGGGAGGGACTGAAGAGAACATGAGAAACCATCACCCGGGGGGTGGAGGTGGAGGGATGGCCATGCTGCCATCCCTTCTCCTCCAGTCTCCTCTCAGGATTTTAGGCATGTACACACAGGCCTGGCATGTTTCTCAGGCCACCAGGTTCAGGACTTGAACTGTGCAGTTGGCCATGTGAGATCCAGATGTTTTAACCACCACACCCTCCTGGCTGGCCCAGGTGGTTTGCATTTTAACCTGGAGGATTTCAGACCCTCCTCTCTAGGCCCTGGAAACCCATTTCTGCCCACTGTCGGGTGTCCGATAGCAACTTCCCCACACCTGGACGGGTTCAAGCAGAGGCTGTGGTGAGCAGAGCTGGAGCACACAGTGGGATTCTGGACAGACAACCTTTGCATTTTTCATCCCTGAAATTCTAAGATTTCAGAGAGATCCTCCCCTGGTGAACATCTTGAGTTCCAGATGAATTGCCGGAGCGTGGCACAGCCACTTGCGGCCCTCCCCAACCTTTTTCTCTGGCACTTCCCCCAGGGGCTTGGCTGTAGACTGCATGTGTCTCTGTACATGTATGTGAGTGCCCATGTACATGTAAGTGCACACATGCGTGCACACGCACCCTCAGAGGCCTCTCTGACCATACACAGGACTGGCGACTAGTGTGCAGAAGACCTTTCTTCACATTTGTCACTGGCCCCCAGCCTGGGCACAGGCCAGGTACGGAGATAAAGCCCGTGTCTAATAGCAAAGGTCGAGTGACATCATCACCTTCCTCGGAGACATCATGGGATTTCTGCCTGAAGTTCCTTAACCTTGGAGAACACTTCCTTCAAGAGGAGCTTTTCTGTGCATAAATCCCACTGCTATAGGGTCACCTATAGGTAAGTTCTAAGACATTATGCCAGGGGAGACAGGAAAGTAAGGATGATTCCAAAGCCCATTTCCTAACAGGGCTGTCCCCACAGGGCCTCCCTGTGCTCTCCCCTTATTATCTGGGTGTGTGTGTGTGCATATGCATGTGTATGTACAAAGTGTATATGCATGTGTGTGAACAAATGTCCCAGATGTTGGTGGCCAGGATTGAGA